TATGATTGAAGTATTTGTAGTGAAACAATGACCTGCATTAAGAAGGGAGGACAGTGGCTTACAGAAGTGCATGATCTTCAAGCTGGACTTGGTCTGTCAGGAGATACAGCAGCCAGGAAGGAAAAAGGGCACAGCTCTGCCTTGGTCCTGCTGTGCTTGTTTTCATCAACATGGGAAATGCTCCAAAATCTCTAAGGAGACAGAATGCAGAGGCCTCATGGCAAAGGCACCTCCTGCAGCAGAGGATAACCTGCTTCCCTGTATCCTGTCCCACAGGGCACTGCTTGTCCTGGCATCCCTGTCCTTTCCTCCATCCCAGAGGTTCAGAGACAAAAAGAGAAAGCACAGAGTGGAGAGAAGACAGTGCTGCAAGGGTATTGTCAGCTCAGTCCCTGCTCCTCTACTGTATATGTTCTTTCTTCTTACAGAAGAAAGTGATTCTTATGATATGAAAAAGAAGTGACATTTTGGGAATTAGGTTGGACGTTTTGATTTGTTTGTTTGGGTTTTTTTAAACATAGTCTGGGGGGGAAATTATAACAATAAAATATATATTATAACTCTTTAAAGACTTTTACATATACAAATAAAAGGGAGAGATTCCGATTTAAATTTAAACCAAAAAGAACCAACAAACAAACCAAAAAAAACCCCAACAAATCAGATTTGAGTGGTGGCTCTCTAAGAACAAGTGTTGTAGCCCACACTTAGCTTTAGGTACCACGTTTCATCCTGCTCAGGATGCATTTCTCTGCAGGATCACTGTCCACCCCTTAGAGAGAAGGAGCCTCCTGCTGAGGATGGCTCAGATCCCCAAAGCCAAGCTCCTGTCTGAATTACCCTGGAATAGTCTGAGTCTCTGCATGTCCAGAGCTGGAGGTGATCTCCCTTCTAATGCAGGAACCTGAGTTATATATGCTTAAAGGCAGCAGGTGTGATTGCAGCCCAGCATTTGCACTACAGTGCTGTTGTGATGCTTTCCAAGTTAAAGGGTGTCTAAGAGAGTTCGAAAGAACTGAAGGAACTGTGGGAAGAGTCATTTAGCCACCAGACATTAAAAATGTGCTTTCTTACCATGCCTTCAGAAGAATGACTACCAAATATAATCATGAACACAGCAGTACTTGAAGTCCAAGTCTCTTTCTTTTTAATTGCACAATGAAAAATTAATTTTCAAAGAGCAGATTAATAAGTATTGCTTTTTGACCAAATATTTTCTACTTCCAATTAAAATATTAAGCTGGTTTTTTTTTTCCCAAATCAATTTGCATTTTATTTATGCACATGTTTTTATATGGACCAAAACCAAAAGCTGTTAAAAAAAAAAAAGATAGTGTGTGCAATGTGACAAAATTATCATGTAACACTCTGACTCAAAATACAGAGTTCCTTGCAGACTTACTCTCTGTCGTTATTTTTTGTTCATTAACAAAATAGTTTGGCATAACTAGATTTTCTTCCTCCCTCTCTGTCTACCCTTTTCAGGTATTAAACTTCTTCCTTCCTCACCTTCCCCACAAAGTCAAGAAACAGTTTTTTTTCAGGTCTGTTTTAAGCCTCCGAACCTGCACATCAAATAAACCAAGCTAGTTCCTCAGTGGATGAAAGATGGAGAAGAAATTATTAATAAGCTTCTTATTGACTCAGTGTAGCTTCAACAGGAACCCAGTTTATTCTGGTTTATATTTGCAGATATGTGGAAGCCTATTCCTCTGCTGCCCCTATTGCATGATGGTGATGATACTGCAGTAAAGGAAAAGGATTTAGATCAAAAGATTTACACTACTTAAAACAAAAAGAGCTTTATCCTTTAAATGTGAAATATTTTCCATAATAATAGGGCACTTAAACATAGACTTTCTTTTGATTGTTAAAGCAGCAATAAAGTTCAGCCAAACCCCTTACTCAGTCCTTGAGAGTTGGTTTCCATTTTACCAGGGAAATGCCAGCTTAAGCCAGCAGGTGTTCAGAACTGGTTATTGTAAGAGAAACTTTAGAGACTCACAGTGGATCTCACAAAAAGATAATACCATTTTCCCTACTTTGTCAGAGACTTCATTTCTCACTGCAGCCATGGAAGCTGTTTGCTGGAGGTTTGTTTCCCTTGCAACAGAACCTTGGCGTACACAGTGAAGTATTTTGGTGGAATGTCTCAGTCTCTGAAAGGCTTTGGTCTGACTGTGTTCACTCACCTTTTGTTTTCTCTGAATGTTTGGTTCCTGAGACTTACTGGCATGAATGTTCAAAATGATTTTCAAAGATGCCTATGCATGTCACCATGGGAACTGAAGGCTGATCTCAAACAGCAGAGCTGCTGCTGGGCTGATTGTGTGCTTTATCCAGTTTGGGCATGGAAGCAGTGCCATGTGAATTATCTGAATAGTCACACAGCAACTGCGGTGGTTATGACTGGCACAAACTCCTTTGCCACTGATCTGGTGAGGGTAACAATATCTCATGACTATGAAATGATCTTAAATTACAGGGGCTGAAAGAAGTATATTTTGTTTGTGCAAACTATCAATAGAAAAGAAAGCTAAACTGGACATTTTTTGCCCTTATTTATTTACTCGGCTCAATCTCGGTCTTGAATCCTCTGTCTTCACTTGTTGGTATGTTTGCTTTAAAACTTCATTTCCAGATTATATTTGAGAATTGTGCAAGGGGGAACACCCATATACTGCTTAATAGAAGAAAACATTTCCTTTTAAAATTATTTTTAGTGGGAGGACGAGAAGCCAACTGTTCCACTTTTCAAGATATCAGTTAAGTTGTTATTGTGCATTAAGGAAAAAAAAATGCTGCAGTGAGCTAAAAGTTTCACTGTTTTATGGTTCTTTATACTAGTCTCATGCTCTGTGGCAGCTACCATAAGATCAGAGTATTCACAAACTTCTGTACTAGTTAAACAGACTGTAGGTCTGCAAGAATATTCAGTCTTTGGTAAACAGTCAGTGTGATTAGCTGGTACCTATGATATAATTCCTAAGATAGAAAAGAGGGTTTTTTATTTAACTAATGTATTGTTCTTCAAACTGCCTTTAATTCATAATTTCCATCAATCAGTGCAGGTACTGCATTCCCCGAATTGATGAAGTCAAAAATTATGAAGGCTTGCAGTAATAAAGCAATACAGAAAATTTTGCTAGACTTCGTAGTTTGGCTGTAATTTAATTCAGCATCATAATTCTGTAGCTGAAACATTCTTCTGGATTAAGAGCTTTCATCCCAGCTAGGTGAAGTGATAGGAATTTTTCTTGTCCCCTCTCTAGTCTGAGGAAGGAATAGCCTTATTATACTGCACAGCCCTCAAAGTGGCTGAAAGAAGAAGCAGAATGGGAAATTGCCCAGCTTTCATGACCTGGCACCTTTAAACCTGGCTCTAGGGTACATGATTTCCACAGGCTTCAGTGCTTGCCTGGGGCTCACAAAAAGGGGTACCACAAAAGGGCTTCAAGCTGGGCACACCACAGGTAAAACAGAAGAGTAATTACTCCCTTCTCAGCAAAAAAAAAATCAATCATTTAGCATCCAATTAATTGTTAAAGCACTTTATGCCCATCAGGTTATTTGCTAAGCTAGTTTTAAAGATACAATGAATGTAAATGAATGTAAGTTTCAGACAGCACAAAATGCAAATTGTGCCAATTTCTGGCAATAAAAGTAATGTTTTTTCTATCCTTTACTGTTTGATTTATTCATGGCTGTTTTGAGAAATTCATGCAGTGCAATTTTGGTGCTATTGCCTGCTAAAGATTTTCCCTCCTTTCCTTTTATTGGCCCCACTTCTCCCACACACAAATCCACAAAGCCACAGATGCTCCATTACAATGATGTCAGTCTTGCTACATGCTCCAGCTGTTTGGTAGGTACATTTATAAAGTTCAGCCTTTTACATTATGCCATAAATGTATATTTCATGTATAAACATAAAGTTAACATATTGCAGATCACTCTAAGTGTAATTTTAATGGAGGTTCAGTAAGTTTAAAAAATACTGAAAAACATTTAATCTTTCCGTTGGCAACAATTTTATAGTAAGTTTTCCAAATTTTTTTTCTTTGTCTAGGTTTAAATATTCCCTGCCCTCTCTGCTATTTCATCTTCTGTGATCTTTGGAAAAGCAGGGAGTTATTATAGTAAGACAATATGTATTTTAAAGAAAGATGTCTGAGGAAAAATATGTTTCTCTCCACATCTTCTTGGTGCTCAAACCCTCACTTAGCATTCTGTGCATTTACCAGCAAACCACGCTGCAAAACACCTAATTCTTGGAATTGCCAGATTTCAGTGGTATTTGATATGGCCGATACGCTGCTGATAGGATGTATAAATTCTAACAGATTGTTTTAAAATTTCATGAAGAGTTTGGTATGAGCCTTAAAGCCATTCTTTGTACTGTGTCCTGAGTTTCAAAGGAAAGGCTAAACAGTGTCTATTTGGCTCTGCCTTTTGCCCCTCTTCTCTCTGGTATGTGCTCAAGGGCTCATCTCACTGAAACTGTGCATCATTGACTGGTGCCCAGAGGAGCCTTCCCTGGTCTCCCCTGGGTGCTTTCCTTCTTAGAAAAAATGTCTTTATTTATTTGCTCTCCCTTTGAGTTGCCTACTTTGTCTTCATTTGAATGTGGTGCTGAGTTATCACCATATTTATACCAGAGAGTCATTATTCTAAAATAAATCGCTTTGGAAGATTTTGAGGGCTAATCTCTGTTTTGTTGGCTCAGTAATAAAATGGCTCTCAAGAGGACAGATGAAAGCTGAGAGCAGGAGTTGCTGTTGCTTCAGGAGAGACCCAGAGTGCACAAAGGCCGTAATAAAACTGTAGAGACTCAAGTTTGGGACTGTGAGCTACCAGTGTGTGGCTGCAGAAGAACCTTCACTGCAGTCTGCTCCATTCCAGACTGCAAATACATAAAAGTCTGATGAACTCCTAACAAGAGCCACTGGCTCAGAAATGCTGATAATGTCACCATTATTTGTTTTCTTTTTAATTTTCAGGTCTTTTGTTATCCAGCAGATCCCAAGTAGCAACCTCTTCATGGTGGTGGTAGATAATGAATGCTTCTGTGATTCTATCCCACCAATTACCATGGCACCTATAGAAATAAGGTATATCCTTTTATTTACAAACTGGTCAGAAAGAGATTCGAGATGCAAATATTGAAAAACATCTTTTCATGTAAAACTTGCATTGCATGACATCATCATCCATTATATGTGCTGTTTGGAATTAAACCATCTGGGGATATGTCCTCACTACTTTTTCAATGAGAATTCACTTTTGTTTTTCTTTTTTGAACAGCCATTATGTGGATCTTATGCTGCATAAGGTCATGGTCCTCTTTAGACAGCTGAACATCTTTCAGATTAACCACTAAGTATGTAATTTTCTTATAAGGATGAATCTCATTATATTAGAATATATAGAACTCCTTCTAATACAGATATCTCTTTATTCAAGGTTTGACTGGAGCATTGAAAATGTTTCAGAATCCTGCTTTCCAAAATTGCAAAAATCTAGCAAAATAAATATATCACTTGGTTTTTTGGTTGCCCCACTTCCTATTTTTTGCTGTTCTGTAGTTCAGGTAGTTCAGGATTAGTTTTTCCCATGAATTGGAATTTGTCAAAAGCAGCCTGCAGTGTGTTTTTATTGCAGAATTATGGAAAGACATGTCAGCAGTGAATGTGCACATGAGCTGTTGAAAACACAGATCACAGAGAGGAAATCACTAGAATCACTTTCATTTTCTTGTGCTGACCACACATATCACCTTGGGGTTTTAATGGAGAGGAAGAAAGGAGCTGAAAGATTTTCATTGTATCAATTTCAAAACACTCCCATGAGAATGCAATGCTCAGAGCATCTCTCCTTAACTGCCTTGTACATAATGAATCCCTCAAATGTGAACGGTTAAAATCTCAGAAGATAAGAAGACGCCCAGAATCTTGTCATGGATTTCACCCTGAAGTGAGTTTCTACTTTTCCTTTCTTTTCGACTCTGGTAAATTTTTTATTTCCTTAAAAATTATTAATAGGAAAACTATCTTCCAAGACAAAATGTTGGGAAATATTCAGAAGACTCAGTAGTCAGGGAAGTGAGGGGTACTGTAAGTGCTACAAGTCATTTTGTGCTCACATAGACAATGTCTTGAGCTGTTGCTTTTGCAGACTGGTTTGTATCATGTCAGAGAACGTGGTAGGATGTGAGCACTGGCAGCCAGGAATATCTGAGAACCTTGGCTCAAGCAGTGACCACAGAATTCCTTGTTAGAGATGGCTGGGAACTTGGTGCTGTTAAGGTTTGCCTCAGTAATTAGCTTCAGCATCATCCCTGTCATGCTGTAGGCATTATGTTCACACATGATGTGGCTTGGGAGGGACAGTGGCCCCTCCAGTACACGTATTTACTGCCCTGTGTTCTACATAACACTGTCACACACTGCTAGGGAGAGCTATAGACACCAGGATGTGGTTACAGTGGCTTGTACAGCATAGGTTCATAGACATCCTTTTTACTCTGGAGTAACTTTCTTTTCTGCTTCTGATGGTGCAATGCAATGTAGGAAAAGACCTGAAGTATAAAGTGGAGGGGAGGGTGTAGTGCTTGTTGTTTCAGTCTACAACCTAAACTTGTTCAACTCAAAACATGTACTTGTATTACCTCCCAAGTATATTTAATTTATGGGCTTTGTTGTTTGCAGCAGTGCTCCACTATGTTTGATAAAAAATGCCTATGTTTGATAAAAAAATCATGTCATAATTGATTATAGTGGCTTGTATTTATTTTCCTTTGTTGTTGTTTTATTTGCTTTAGGAAAATGCAAGAGAATGTGGTGGTGTCTCAGGCCTTAGTGCTAAACCTTCTCTTGTTCTTCTTCCTCTGCTATTGAAGATTTTCTCCAGGTGACATTGACTGATGTGTTCAACTGGCATGCTAAAACATGGATAAACTGTGAACTGAGAAATGGTGCAACAATAGAGGACATGAAATATAGTCAGAGCATCAGCATTTCATGATTTTAAACTGTTGGTGATATAAATTCTTAAAGATATGTTGAAGAAAGATTTATCTTTTTACTTTGCAAGTCATGCAGATGTGAATTTGGCATATGGCAGTCATGATTCATCAAAAAAGGACTTGGTAGATAGAGGTGATCATTGCTTTGTCCCATTGAAAACAATTTAAACTGTGTACTTTTTTCAATAAAGTATATTAAAATCACAATTTCAGAGTGTATTTTAAGTATGCTAATATATTTGTTCAAATAATGAATGATGGGAAGAAAATAAAATAAATGGATGATATTTTATTATGCTTCTAGCCTCTTTCTGAAAAAACTCAGAGAAAAACATGGGGACTTGGCTTTTACAATGAGGCAGAATAGCTTTCAGTCACAAGTTAAGGAAACACCTGTGTGTATGAAGCTGAATAGGTATGTTGCTGAATTATAGAGCAGGCTTGGTTTCTGGAAATAGCTATAAAATATCTTACCTGCATTTGCAAAGTGGGTCAAAGCCTTATTAAAGCTTTGCTTCTAACTTAGGCAAGCTTTGGGTCAAATTGATTGATTTGGCTGCAGATGGCAAAAATCAAATTCTTTTCAAGTAAAGGAATAGAAAGCTGTGTAGAATAGCCCACATCAAAGGATGACAGTGCTCTGCTGGTGCTCTGCCCTCCAGATCTCATGTCAGACAGGAGAAGCTCATTATGAGGAAGGTGATAAGCAGAGAAAGTCTGAATTGCAACACATTGGTGTCAGCAGAACCCATTATTGGTTTTCCTTGAGAGTCCCTGTTGGTAGGCAAAGGTCTAGACCAGAATGGTTTTATTCCAGGCCTTACATTCTTCTTTGTAAGGGAAATGAGGTAATAAAGATGAGCATTTTCCTTTTGCAATTGGCAGCAAAGTCCCTGCTGTGGATGTGTTTGCTGAAGATCTTGATCTTTGATCTATGATAGTCTCAGTTTGTCTTTGGAGTTTTATACGAAGTGGAATGCTATCAAAGGGTAACCTGTCCTCCTGACAATATAATACGTGAAATGCAAAATAAAATGCCACTGTTTGAAATCTGGTGCTTGGGGACTGCAGTTTTCTGGTTTCTGTGTAAGTTTGCTTTCAGCCTTGGATAAATGCTAAGCAGATTTGCTGTGTATCTTGGTTGGTAACAGGGAGCTAGGCCACTGAGAGGGGCTTTGTTTTAAAGAATACTCTCCAGCTTGTAAGGGGAAGAACTAGTAAAAAAAATTCCACTCCAATGCTTTAATGGGTTTAAATGCACTGGTACTCCCTCTGATTCTGAAACCATACAGGTCTTTGTACTCATAAATTTCTTTTCCACATGTTTTTGGTTGTTTTTTTTTGGAGTGTCTTCCTACAGACTTCTCTGTCCTTGCTCATGGGTCTCAAAATTTCTCACTATGGAATAATTTTCCATCTGACATTCAGTCAAATTGTTGTCCTAGTGACATGCTCTGTTTACTAAGCAAATTGGGAACTCAAGGCATTTTCTCTGCTTGGGCTGACATGGATATCCTGCTGTTCTTTGCTTGGTTTTTCTCTGAGCTCCATTCCCCCTTACCATCCATCATTCTCACAAAAAATTAATGTCAATTCTATAGAAATAAACTATTTTAGATTCTGATTCTCCTTCTGAGTTTCCAGAATTCATGGCACTGCAGCCTCATAACACTTTTGTATATGCGATTACATTCTTCTGTAATGATATTTAATGGATATAGCCAACACAATACAGGTGATTATCCATGTTAGTAGAAAGTGGAAAAAAACATCTTCCTTATTAGAGCTATTGAAAAGCTCTGCATACAACTGTCTGATGTGTTAATCATCATTGCTTCAAAGAAAGGAAATACATTAATGGAGAAAGTTTATTTCTACAGAGCCTAGGTGAAAATCCATAAGAGTAATTCATTGTTCATTTTGGAAAGGGGTGGGTGGTTTTTTAATTGCAAAGGAGCCAGGGAGTGACAAGAGAGATTAAAGTATGACAGTCTAAATTAATATTGAGAAAGAGATTAAAATATGGGTATGTAAATGAATGTTGCTCAGAGAAATGTGACAATTCATTTTCATACACGAACACAAAGTTATGAAGGCAGAATGCATTGGTGTACCCAAACAAGTCACTGTGTGGAACAGAGCAATCCAAACCAATTGCTAAGTGTAAAAACATTTTTATGAGTTACCATTTCTCTTATTGAAGCCTTCTTTTTAATTCTGTATCTATTCCTCAGAAGTTTCTGGTGCAGTGTGAATCCAGGTTGACAAAGCCAGTCAGGAAAAATGGACACAAGGCCAAGGGACTGCAGGGTGTGAGTGTGCAGCAGCCAGTCCCTTCCAGAGGGGATGGCCACAACAGGAACAGCCTGGGCTGAACACAGAAATGATGGCCATGAGTTTCATGGGACAGAGCTCTCTGACAGGGGCTGGTTGAAACAGATTTCCAGAGAAGCTGATTTCATGGTAATGCTGTTCCTGACTGTGTTTGAGTTTGCTGGCCTCTGTGTCATTAGCTCTGATGGAGTGAAGATGTCATGCCATGAAGTGGGTCTGTGCTGTCATTCCATAGCCTGTGGCAGGTCATAGCAGGTTATGGAATTTAATTCCATTACCTCACTAATCTGAGATGTTATTCCTCTGAAATACTAAATCATTATGCAAGGTCCAATGCAAAGCCAATTGCAAAACAAATATGTGTCCATGTGTATATATACAACAGCATATGTGTGAGCTACATATATCTACATATATTTTTAATAAATGGGAAATTCAGACATTTTCTGTGTCTTTTATCTCCCTGAATCTGAGGACAAATCCAAGGAGAGCTGGGACAACTGTACAATCATTTTCTGCACAGCAAGAGGCAGAGCTAAAAGCTTTAGCTTTTGCAGGGCTTGGATCTTTTTTCTTCTTTACTCTCTTTGCTAATGGCATTGATTTGCAACTTATTAGCCCCAGCTGCCTCCTCTTCCTTTAATCTTGATAAAGTAAAAGCTGTCTGGGGGCTCAGGGCTGGCCATGGACACACCATTTTCTAATAGTTTTGTGTGGGAAAACTGTCCATAACTGTCAGTGCTGCAAACACTCCTTTAAAATCCTGTAAGCCGGAGAGCCCCAGGCAGGTTTCCACAGCTGTGCTATCTCCTCTCATTGTTTTTGTGACACTGAGACTGCCTGACCCACTGTGTTCTGCTGCCAGGGCCAACTCTGCAATATGTGTGCTCAGCGACACAGGTGGTTGCCCAGGGCAAGAAGATATTAAAAGCAGCAGTAATTGTTTCATTGCCTGAATGGCTTCAAGAGACTGTTTCAGTTTACTTCTGATAGCAGGAGCCCCAGAACAAGGCACTGGACTGTTTCGCCCTTTGAGCTCACCAGGCAAAATAGAAGATTGGCTCAGAAGGTTTGAAGGCTCCAGTTATTTCCATGTGTTTCCTGAGCCCTTTTTGGCCTTCAAGGACTTTTATATCTTGGTACATTCTGTGCCTCAGAAATTCCAGCTCATGCAGATTTAATGTAAATAGACACAATTGGAAAGTCTTCTGCATAAGAGTGCATCAAAACTTTTCACCAGTGGAAAATATTTATATTTATTTTTCCTATTTGATTATTCTTTACCCTGAACTGCCCCAGATACTCCCAATATATGCAGCTTTTTTTCTACTTGTTCAAATCCCTCCCCATGTTTTTAGCTGCCTTGCTATTTATCTGGTGTAAAACAACATATTCCCTGTGACAGGTCCAGCTCCCATGTATCTCCTGAGAGAGAAATGGTTCTCACGTACAGAGTCCAGGAGGTCTCACTGGAGTTTATCACAACCCTGTCTCAAGACAATTTTCTTCTCTCTTGTCTTTAGCCTTTGGCCCTTAAGCTCAGATCATATTTCTTCCAATATAATAATATTCTTGCTATAGTTCCTTGGGAGGATTTATGTCCTCTTCAACATTCAGTTCTATGTTTCTTCACAAGAACAGTTTTTGGAAGCGGATGTTAGAACTTGGATATACCAACTCAGTCTATTCCTGTGATGCTCTGAGTGGAAGGGTATGTCTCCAACTCTTCCAGACATTTTTTTCCTTCTTCCCATGGTAACTGTGCAAACCACAGCAAAAAAAATGTAACTAAGCAAATGTTATTTTATTGTTTGCACTTCAGTACAAATTATTTTTGAAGTTCACAGCTCTGCCTAGCAGATACTTTGAAGAATTTCAAAGCACAGTGTTAATTTAGGAAGGGTTCATTGATTGTTCTTGCATTAGACATTTTTTATTATTTTCCCCTAAGTCTCATGGTGTCTTAATTAAGAGTAGCCAGTCAAACTGTGGATTGATCCAGCCATCCAGGTGATGAGAGGCTAAAACCTTAAGACAATTTCCTTTTCAACAGTTTTAGCAGATTTGATTGCTCATCACTGTGGCAGGAATAACCAGGTAATTATGTTTGTGCCACACTACCCTCTAACACCTCACCAGGTGTCCAAAGCTCAAGTGTGAGCTTTGTTCTGCTGCTAACAGTTTCTGGCAGCAAATGGGGTTTGTTGACTATGTAGAAGTATTCAAGTAATTCACACAAAATTGGCAAAATAGTATTGAAAAAAAAAATCAATACAATGTCACAATAAGTGGCATGAAAGCAGTTGTGTTCCCTGTAATATTTTCCTTATTAAATTACAAGTCCTTTAAATGGAATTGAGGCTAAATTTCCAGTCTGTCATGCCACAGTGCTGTAAAACCCAAGATGCATTTGAAGAGTTGAGCTCCGGTTCATTCAAATAGTGCAGAATTTGGTTATCTCCTACTTGAATTCTTTTATCAAGAGGTTATAAGGAGTTGACAGCTAGTAGGGCCCCTGTAAGATCAAGCTGGAAAGCTGTTTTTTTCATTCCAGATGTGGTCTTGAACTGCACTTATATGTGTTTAAAGCAGCCTTGTAAGAAAAGGTTACACTTGACAATTCTGAGTCAGATTTGAACCTTAACATCAGAAGTTCAAGTGGTTAATGCTGGGTTTGTTTGACTATGTTAGGATTTAGTTTGCAGCTTTAACATGCTGGGTATTTCACTTCCAGGAGAAAGGGAAGATCAGATTTCAGTTCACGGTGAGAAGTGTTTTGAATCAGCTATTTAAATGTCTTAGGCAAAGTGCTAAATGTTTAACAGAGGAAGCTAGTCGGGACTAGCTGGGATAGCTGAACTAACTGAGAGTGCTTGGGGCCACATGCAAACGTGCAGGCGAATCCTCAAAGAGGAAACACAGAATCGTTCTGGTTTTTTTCTTTGTTGTTCATTTGGCATTGGTCAGTTGGGTTGAACTGGAAAAATGAAATATCGTTTTTCATTTGCCCATGTTGTTTGAGGGGTGTGTGTGGGGGGAGAATTAATTTAGAAGCAGTCAGCTGCGTTCCTGGATCTTCTAATGCCTCCTCTGAGACATTACTGTGATATGTGCAATAGTTAAGAGAATATCCCAAGTTTCTGGCCATATATTTTTATCTTTTATAGTTAATGAAGCTGTTTAGGTACATCTGATTAATGTCTAGAGATGTGAGTGAAATAATTAGGGAAAAAGTTTGATGCTAGTTTCTAAGCATCAAAAACAAACCAGAGCAACAATTAATTTGTAATTCCATTATCTCTAACAGACTGTAAAAAGCAGGACATGAAACCTGGTCATAAAGACTCTGATGGAGACTCGTGATTTCCCATCATCAGATCTTTGTGGGTTTCAGGAAGGCATTTTCCTTTAGAGTAGACATACTTCCTGCTCTTTCTTCTTCAGTCTTTAAAGCCAGAGAATTTCAAGAACTCCCAGGAAATCTGTCCTCTGGAGAAACAGTAAACAAAGAGTATTTTGAATTCTGCTTAAAACCTGGAGTTAACGTGATACACTTGAATTCATACAAGTATGGACTCAATAAGGGATATCTAGTTAATATCCTTTAGGTCCACTAGTAATGATATAAACAGAGATCTCTGTAGGAAGATAAATATTTTGCAAGATATAGAAAGGTCAAGAATTTTTATTTTCCACTGATAAAAGTTTTCTTGGCAGAAAACATCCAGATTTTATTTAAAAGAAAAAAAGCTTTAAAAACCTGGGTTTATGAGAACTCAGAGGGGCATTGTTTAAGTCCAGTTTTTAACCATGAAATCCTTTTGACATATGGCAGTCATTATGTATTTGAATCTGTCTATCTTGGAGGATTTTTTCTAATAGAAGATACTTAAAAGTTTCACATTTAACATATTTTTCAATAAACACTTGAGAACTTCTTAACAGTAAACAATGATCTTAAACTGCCTTGCCAAGCATGTAAATGATCTACAACTTCTAATACACCAAGATTGTTGCATATTTTCAGCCCTCCATTTGGGACCTCTAGGCAATGCTGTTTCAGATTAGGATAAACCATGAATTTCTTAACTGTTTCACTTGAGAGAAGAAGGCTTTATCATTCTGATATTCATGGCAGAAAACCTGGAAATCTGTCCTTCCCATTCCTTTCCAAATACAGCAACCCTATCTTCATTAGCATCTGACAGATTTAAGATTAGTGGAGGATACCTGATTCAAAAAAAATTAAATACTCTGACTAAAATAAACAGGAAACCCCCTTCTATGTTTTATACTGCCTTCCCTGCCTTTCCCTGAGCTTTTGCCTCAGTCTTACACAAGAAGAAAAATCCCTTGTAGTGTGGTAGGCATAGAGGAAAGATTATGGCCTCTTGAAAGGGAACACTGTCACATTTTTCCCCCTGTCCTGTTGTAGCTATCAATAGGAATATTCATGCCACATTCTTGGAAATATTCTTCTTTTCACGTAGTCCTACTGGTAAAGCTGGCTATGAACAGGGAGGGCGTACAAGATTCAGCTTTTTTTTATGTTTTAGAGGGTGAAATGGAATTGTTTTGGACAGCATTTTCATGCCTTCAGTATACAGCAGTTTTTATGAAAGAAAAAAGAAAATACAGCAGCCATCATTGCAGGCAGTGCCTCAGAACTCACTTGCAGAAAAAGCAGTTTGGTGCATATTTGTGTTTGTGAGAGGCAGCTGAACAGGAGCCACGTTTGCTGCTCAAGAGTGAGCACAAGGACAGCACAGACTGAAAGCTGAAGCAGTTGAAGACAAGGGAACAGGGAGGGAAGTTGATTCTGAGTAAAGTCTGAAAAAATGGGAAAACAAAAAGACAAGTTACCCACTGAGCTTGGTTTGGTCTCAATTCAAGAGAGATTTCCTCTGGAATTCTTCTACCGTATTGTCCTCTTTTTACAGTTTGGGAGATGAAAATGCAGAGAGCTCGGGATGTAAATCCTTTGAGATTCTGCATTTGAGTTTCAATCAGGAAGTAAGAGTAGTCTGCTGCTTGACCTGACTGGGCTGTAAATACTTTGCCCCAGAACTGCTACATTGATCAAATCAGGAAATAAAACTGAGGAGCTCAGGTTTCAGCCAGTTGTGTGCAAACGATGTGAAGATGTGGCTCCAAAGAATTTCACCTATCAGCTGCATGTTCAGCCTATTAAACTGCAGTGTCCTGAGAGAAGATCATCTAAATCAATACAGAATAAGAAATCAAGTGTAAAATCACCTATATCTCACAAGTGCTGGTAGAGTCATCCATTTTTTAATGGAAATAACAGTGTATCTTTTCCATGTCTTTAGTGAGTTTTAGCTGGAGTATGTAAAGCCCTGCATCTACAGTATCTGTTATTTTAAAGTCAGTGCAATAAGTAAAGAAGCTGATTTGAAAAATAGCTCTTAAAGTATGTACA